GAAATATAATTAGGATTTCCACATAGAGTACAGTGTTTTTTATATGGCATTTGCGATTCAGTTGCAGCCCAAAATTGGTAATCTTGATGTGCATATTGTTCCACAAGAGGTTAGAAAGTGTGAGGTCCTGGTGTGCGGTACCATGATAATGAAGCTAGAACATTCTTGCGATGATCTGGTGTGTGAAGAGTCAACCTGCATTTTCTGGAAAGGTTTCTGTTATGTTCTTTAGATACCTGCTCCTTTCTCATTTCGAATACCAGGTATGCATGATAGCTGTCTTCAAAATAGCTGCAAAGCTCCCAGGTGGAAGGACTTTGCAACCGGCAATGCATATTTACTTCACGTTGGGCTCTGTACCATTAGCGCTTTCTTGTCTATCATTTTGACTAAAACATCCAAACCGGTGTCAATGGACTCAGCTCTGCAGATACCAGCAAATGATGCTTATCGAGCAAATTTCCAACCCCAAAATTCTCTGTCTTCGTCCTGATGCAGGTCACCATATTTCCCGGTACCAGCCTCTGCATCCACTAGGCTGCAGACCCTAAGGCCACAGCACGGTCACCTAACCATCTCCAGGGCACCTTCCAAGGTCAGCACCATGTCGCTGAGCTCCGTTTTTTCTTTTTGTTTTGTTTTGTTTTTTGAGACAGAGTCTCGCTTTGTTGTCCAGGCTAGAGTGAGTGCCGTGGCATCAGCCTAGCTCACAGCAACCTCAGACTCCTGGGCTCAAGCGATCCTCCTGCCTCAGCCTCCCGAGTAGCTGGGACTACAGGCATGCACTACCATGCCCGGCTCATTTTTTTCTCTATATGTATTAGTTGTCCAATTAATTTCTTTCTATTTATAGTAGAGACGGGGTCTCGCTCTTGCTCAGGCTGGTTTCGAACTCCTGACCTCGAGCGATCCGCCCGCCTCGGCCTCCCAGAGTGCTGGGATTACAGGCGTGAGCCACCACGCCCGGCCATGAGCTCTGGTTTTGAAAAGGTTGGATCACTTCTCCAAATAGCAGTGACAGGGACAAAAATCGGTCTTCTTACCACTCCACTTCCACTGTCTCTTATTACTACTGTAGCATGATGAAAAGTCATGCATAGAGTCAAGAATTTTGGAGAGCCTCATGCAATCAATTTTCCAATACTTTGATAGTAAAGTTCAAAAGGAGCAGAGTTTCCTTGTGAGAGAACATTTTTTAACGGGGGAGGTTGTATTGTGTAGTGGTTCGAAATATTCTGTAGTTACATTGCCTGGAGTCAATCTTTTCCTTTATCGTAGCTGTGTAGATTTTGTCAGCTACTGAACTACATTGGTGTCAATTTCCTTATAGAAAAAAGTAGCTAATAATAGTACCTATCTCATAATTGTACCTAAAAAGTAGCTAATAATAGTACCTATCTCATTATTGTTATGATGAAGTGGATTAATACATAATATGAAAATTTTAGAATAGTAACAGTCATATGGAAGAATTAAGTATTAACTATCATTATTAATTTATAGTTTGAAAGGGCAGCTGCACCAGAAGATTCCATATATTAGATGACTTTGATGCCTATTTACAGAATCCATATTTTTTATATTTACTTCTTGAATTACAGGAGGCTAGGCCAACATCAAATTTATATATTTACTTGTTTGTTTAATGCTGGAAATTCAAAAGAAAGTTTTTAATTACACTTTAAAGATTAGAACCCACTTTACCTCCTGTAAGACACTTTCCTCAACTTTCCAAGCAGAACGAATCACTTCCTATTCTGTGTCTCTCCCACACACAATTTTTTTTTTATTGGTCTAATAATTTGAAAGGTGATCATCCGAAAGAAGCACAATATGGTATCTCGTCTCTGTGAGTTGATTGAGACTAGAGAAAGTGTTTTACTAATTTATAAATATGAAGAAAGAGTGGCTGTGCAGGGTGGGCCAGTCTGTGCGTGTTAATCACGTCCCCTTCCCTGCAGGTGTTCTCCCTGGCGCTGGCCGATTTTTATTATGGGAACTAAGAGGTCAACCTTTGGAGCCAGGCTACCTGGTTTACACCCCAGGTTTGCCTTTCACTCGTTATGTGTTCCTGAGCAAATTTCTTCACCCTTTGGTGTTGTGTCTCAATTTCCTCACCTGTATAATGAGGAGGATAATAATACACACTTCATAGAATTGCTTTGAAGATTCAGTGAGTTAAGGTAGAGGCAGAAAGACCATTTGGAGCAGAAATTGATGGCATGGGCTCGAAATAAACATTTGGTGTATGGATTTGAGTAATCCTTGTGTGGGCCATTGTGTCCAGAGTTGGCAAGAACTTTAGAAACCATCAGAGGAATGTTTACATGGGAAATTTTTGGTGTGTCCGAACTTCAATTTTTTAATTGCTTATTGTCATGGAAAACAATACTGTGAAAATGAGCAAATGCCTATTTATAGCTCATGGTTGACCAGTAACCACTGCAGGATTCTACACTAGCTCTTGTTTAATGAATATGAGGAGTTCAGAGTGAATTGAGCAATGTTTTTCTTAATTCCATGCAAGTCTATATTTAATATATTACAGTAAAAATAGGATTAAATAATACATAAGGAACTTCAATCATTTAATGTGCAAACGTTAATTACTGAAGGCAGGGGCTAAAGAACACTGACTGACTTTTCTGAATCTTCGATATGAAAAAGACACCTATTTTAAGCTATACTCTCTTCACTTACGGAAAACAGCATGCAGAGGTTTCTACATAAATTCGTAGAAGAAAAGTACGAATTTCTGATTTTACTAGGACATGGACTGGGATACCATCATCATCGGTTTCATTCAACTAGGAACCATGTTACTAAGAATTGATGACATCTAGCTCAAACCTTCTCCTGTGACAGGACACACCTTCACCGTGCGGTGGCCCTGCCCGGCCCTGCAGGAGCACTCACTGTGACCGGCAGAAAGTCCGGGGCCCGGGCTGCAGAGGCACCAGAGCTTCTTTTAGAAACACATCCAGTGTTTCGTTGTCCCTCACCCAGCCCAGAGATGACTTAATTAGAACGAAATGAGGAGCCTCGGTTTCCATTATTTGGACAGATGGAATAGACTGTGACAACAGCGTCTGCACCCACTGGAGGAGAACTGGAAGCCCGGGCCCAGTGCCTCTCTCGCCTCGTGCTAATTAGGTGCAACCAACCGTGGAAGAGAGAAAGTCCCCAAGTGTAGTCTCCTGAGAGCTGCGGGCCGTGGTCGGCCTTGCAGGCAGGAATACAGAGGGCCAGAAAACACCTTGACCTGGAGCCAGTAAAGGAGCCTAAGCGATTTATTTATGTGCAGTCTAGTAGGACTTTACAGCTTCCTAATGCTCCAGCACTGCGTTCCGTCAGCCTCACAGCAACCTTGTGAACGAGACAGGGCGAGTGTCATTATGCTCATTTTACAGAAATACAAAGTGACTTTCCCAAAGTCACAAAGCTGACAGATAGCGGGACCCATGTCCCGGACCACTGTGACACGCTAAGCTCTATCTAAGAGTGTGATGGTCTTTCTGCTCATCCGTTAAAGGTTATGCACATGTATGTGCACACATGCACATGTATTTGGTGCGTACGAATGCATGCATGTATAATTTTTTCATGGTAAAATTATACATCCTCATTGCAGAAGCATCAAGAGGAAATGTAACAGAAGCGGAAGGGCCTGAAGGAAAAACAAACGGCAAAGAGATTTTCTGTCTCCTTAAACCTTCCCCCACTCTTTTTTGGGAACTGCGTTCTGGCCGCATCCCTGAGGCAGGTGAAGTCTTCGGTTAAAACTCCCAGGTGGAGCCGGGCCGCCATGCGGGCGGTTGGTGGAGTTCGCTGGCTCAGTCTTTGGCGGAGATGGGAAGATTAGAATAGTTAACCTCAGTAACCGCCTGAAGCTGAGCACTCTCTCTTTAAAAGCTCTGTATTTCTGCCTATGTTTGGGAAATTTGGATTTTGAGAGGAGAAGGTCCATCTACCACATTTCCTCTTTTGTCAGCAAAGTAAACTCTTCCCTTCCTCCCGGAATGGTTTGTCCTTGTTCTTCTGATTTGGCCTCGTGGACAAGTGGCCGAGCTTTTGGTAACAGACATAAAGAAGAAACTGTGTCCTATCACGTGAATATTACTACTATTGTATTTCTTAGGCAATCTAGTGAAATTTTGCTGGGAGCAGGAAGATTTCACTTGATTTCATTGTGTGGGTGTATTCGAGAAATAATGCTAACATGGATTTTGCAAGTTTGGCTTTTAGAAGAATATGACATTTCTTTCCTCAAACCTACTTGGGGGCACTCATTTAAATTCCCGTGCTAGGTCTCAAGTCCTCAGAACCGAGGTTTGCATAAATTCAGTATGCTTGCCAATGTCACACCCATGGGATCGATGTGCCTGTTTTTCTCTGTAACATACTTGTTCTCTGGCCGATGACTACCTCAAGGATCCTGTCAAGTCATCCAAAATTCTTTTCCCCTCTAACCTAGTCTATTTCAAGTAGAGAAAAATGAAAGCAATCAAAAAACTTGTCTTACTTGTAACTAAATTGTTTGATCCTAAAGTTATTTCACCCTTCAGAGCCTTAACTCTTTCATCTTTAAAATGAAGTGTTTGGCTCAGATGATTTTTAAGTTCCTCTCAAGCCCTCACTTTCTAGAATCCCATTATTAAATAAGTCATGTCAGAATATAAGTGCCCAATAACCCTGACCTCACAGGAGAAACTGTATTTCAAAGGTGGATTTTTTTTTAGACCAGATTAATTTGTTCATACATTCATTCTCTTATATATTAATTCAATAGGTATCTGCAAAGTATCTACTCAGAGCTGGGGTACCTGGGTCAGGTATACAGTACATTGTCCCCAGTATACAAGTAAACAGGTAATTGTGAAAAAAATTAACATAGGGAAAGTACAGACTCTATATGCCCTGCTGCAAGGGTAGCCATGTAGAGTATGTCCGTGTGAAGGAATATTTAATTTTAGTTCGAAACAAAGCAAGATTTATTACACTTATATACATTTTTTTAATTTATTGGATTTCATCATTATATTCCAAAGACATAATATAGCTTATGATGCTTCTAATATTAATTTTTAGCTTCCTTATATAATTATCTTGTGTTGTTTTCCTACCAGGAATGCACAGATGTCAGGAAAAAAAATTGTGTTGAAGTCTTCGATAGTGTGTGACAGATAGAGTATTGCACGTTACCAATGCAGGCGTCTGCCACAGCGAGCAGTGACAGAACACATGCAGGTGTGTTCGCTTTGCCAGAAGGTATCCTTGCTTGGTTTTCACATTAACCTTCCTTCCTTCAAAAGGGATTTCTCCGTTGTGCTTCTCACAGTCTTTAGGAAATTCATGATGTCCGTGCCTCCGGTGCCTTTGTTTTCCAGCCCTGACGGCTCTTCAGGCTTCTCGCTTTCCTTGGGCTGCCGGCGTGCAGGGATCACGATGTACTTGGTGACGATCTGCAAGTGGTAGTTCCGCAGGGAGACCAGGGCTTTCACACACTCATCATACGCCCCCTGCAGGTGGGCGTCGCCCCTCCGCAGCACAAACTCCCGGACCGACGGGCCCGACTCTATGGAGCGAAGGAAGTCCCGGTGAGCCGGTGGCATGTATGTTCTCATTTCCTGGAGGAACTCAGCGGCGGATTCTAGAGGAACAAGAGAACCGTGAAGGAGCAAGGGAGGCCAAAGCGTTGCCTGATCCAGGGAGAGGGGCAGAGTGAGGTCCCAGTGGGAGGGAGGTCACCAGCCCCTACCTGGCAGGAGTCACCTGGGTTAAGACCATCCTATCTGGTCACGCTGGAAACTCAGACTTGGGGGGGGAAGGGGGGAAAGGGCATTTTTTGAAACCTTAAAATTTGTACCCCCATAATATGCTGAAATAAAATAATAAAAAAAAAAAAAGAAAGAAAAAGACCATCCTATCAGAAGGCTAATGTCTGGCTATTAGTCTTGTTACTATAACAGCAATGGTAATTATTGTAGAGTACTGTTCATTCTGAAAACAGCAGGAGCTAAACTCATCCTTGCATAAGAGAAGACTTCTGTTTGTACTTTCTTTCGCACTTTTCTGCTGCATTTGATCCTTCTAAGAAGCTGGTGGTACAGACAGGGTATATGTAATCTGCACTTGGCGGATCATGACACTAAATCTAAGAGAGTTGAAGGGGTCACTTTAAAAATAAGTGTCTGAATGAAGAAAAGAACATGTTTTCACTCTGCCCAAGGCTTTCCCCTCTGGCTGTTACATACAAGTTTAAGAAAACAGAGAAAAGTAGATACAAGTTCTTCCTGGTGCTTCTCCTGCTCCTCTTTCTAAGTCCCTAGGAGGAGCATAATCGATGTGGCTCATTTTTATTTATTTATTTATTTTTCGAGACAGAGTCTCACTCTGTTGCCCAGGCTAGAGTGAGTGCTGTGGCGTCAGCCTCGCTCACAGCAACCTCAGACTCCTGGGCTCAAGCGATCCTCCTGCCTCAGCCTCCCAAGTAGCTGGGACTACAGGCATGCGCCACCATGCCTGGCTAATTTTTTCTATATATATTGGCTGGCCAATTAATTTCTTTCTGTTTATAGTAGAGACAGGGTCTCCCTCTTGCTCAGGCTGGTTTTGAACTCCTGACCTCGAGCGATCCTCTAGCCTCGGCCTCCCAGAGTGCTAGGATGACAGGCGTGAGCCACCTCGCCCGGCCTGTAGCTCCTCTTTAAACTCTGGTGCAGCCATTGCCCTGGGCTGCTGGGGACACAGACAGGGCAGCTGAAAAAGAGTGGAGCCCAGCATCCCTTGTCACTGAGGTCCCTGTCATCTCATCTGCGGCGACTTTCTCCTTGTGAAACTGATTGTGCATTTGCAGAACATGTGATATGGGCTTCACCAGGCTTTAAAAGGCATGTTCAAGTCTCCAGGTGGGGAGAGTGACCAGCCCGGGTGTGAGCCTCGGCTCCGCTGCGGTCTCGCTGTCTGGCGGTTAACAGGGGCCAGTCGCTCCTTCTCACTGGGCTTCTGCTTCTCCATCTGTGAACTGGGGTGAGGACAGCCAAGTCCCTCCTTCACTCATTGTCCTTCAGGTAAGTTCAGAGGAGATACTGATGGGAAGGCGCTTTCTAGACATTCGAACACCATGCTATTAACTTTTTAATTTTTTTTATTTTTAGGGTTTATTTTATTTCCATAATTCTCATTGTATCTCTCCCACCGTCAACTATGAATAATAAAAAAAAATAACTCTGGCTCCCTTTACAATGATAGGGACTTAGGTATATAGAACTGAAAGTCATTCTCCCCATTTCAAATCATTCTTAGAGAAATTGAGTGATTTGAGATCTTCTTTTCATGGCCTGCTAATTCTTTTTTTATTATTATTAATTTTATTTTATCATATTGTGGGGGTGCAGATATTGTTAGGGTTACCTATATTGCCCCTGCCGTTCCTCCCCCCACCCCTGCCTTACCAAAACATCAGGCGTGTCCTACCCCCAGGTGGTGCGCGTCGCACCTATTTTGTGACAGGGACCGGTTTTTGTCAGCTTCGGCTCACCTCCGCCCGTGCTCTGCTGGATGCCCAGCAGGACGTCGAAGCACTGGAAGATGCTGCTTTGGGCGGCACTGCCCCCCGCGAACTTCCTTGGGGTGTCCCAGACCCCCTCATACAGCAGACCCTCTGACAGCTGGGGGTTGCCTTTCCAGCTAAGCCAGGAAAGAAAGAAAAAACATTCTTTGGGTTAATTGCCAGTTTTCAGATACCATATCTTGCACTAGACGTGACCAGAGGGTGATGAGAGAGATCTCGCCATCCTTTCTTCACACCCCTCCCCCCACTCGTTTTCATGCATGAGAATAATAAGATAATTCTGAGAAGATGTGGCATAAATATTCTAAGAATGCGACCTTATTCTTGCATGAGCACAGACCATTCCACATTTTTTTTTTTTTTGAGACAGAGTCTCGCTCTGTTGCCCAGGCTAGAGTGAGTGCCGTGGCGTCAGCCTCGCTCACAGCAACCTCAAACTCCTGGGCTCAAGCGATCCTCCTGCCTCAGCCTCCCGAGTAGCTGGGACTACAGGCATGCGCCACCCATGCCCGCTCATTTTTTCTATATATTTTTAGTTAGCCAATTAATTTCTTTCTATTTATAGTAGAGACGGGGTCTCGCACTTGCTCAGGCTGGTTTCGAACTCCTGATCTGGAGCCATCTGCCCGCCTCGGCCTCCCAGAGAGCTAGGATTACCGGCGTGAGCCACTGCGCCTGGTCCCATTCCACTCTTTCTTAAAACGACTAGTTTTCCTATCTCCCCTCCAGTGCATCTCTGGCCAAGTCACAGAAACAGCCTGTTCGAGAACATACACTGTCGTCTGAACTCAGTGAGTGGTGGGGACCATTAACAGGAATTTGGCGTGTTCTTTCTGTTCACGAGAGCAAACAAATCCAAGCACAAGACTACATACCCAGACAAATATTTGCGAAGAACATTGAAAAACAGTTGTGGGTCCACGTGTTCTGTAAAGAGATAGAACGTGTTTCATTACGCAGAAGCAGAGGCACACGGGGAAACCAAGGCGTGGTGAGTAACGGATGGTGGGTTTCAACACGGATCGCAGGAAAAGGCCTTAGGTCAGTCTGTTCAGAACAAAGCACCTGCAGACAGGTGCCCAATCTCCTGCCCCGTCCCCGAGGAGCCCCGCTCATCACCTGTGTCCCTGATGGGGTCACCTGTGGGGCTTCTGCACGGCTCGTGCTAGGAGCCAGCTGCCCACCTACCCACCTACCAGGCATCAGCCGGGCCGGTTGAACTGTCAGCATTTCCCGAGCACTTTTTCTTTTCTTTTCTTTCTTCCATTCCTTCCTTCCTTCCTCTTCCTCTTCCTCTTCTTCTTCTTCTCCTCCTCCTCCTCCTCCTTCTTTCTTTCTTTCTTTCTTTCTTTCTTTCTTTCTTTCTTTCTTTCTTTCTTTCTTTCTTTCATATTTATTATATTCTTTCTTTTCTTTTTTTAACTTTTTTTTACTTTCCCTTCTCTTATTCCATTCTAAATCTGTAAGGTCTGGATCCCTAGCACTTCTTTATGTGCTTACTGACATAACAGGTAAACTATTTAAATAAAGAAAAAACCTCCCCCCCTCCCAAAAAAATAATATAAAACTGAAACAAAAGTCTCAGCCGCCCTCTGCCTTGTGCATCCAGGAGTCTCCTTCCCTATTTGACTGGGAGGTCCAATGCCACGGGCCAAGGAGCAGTAACTCAAAGCCCAGGGATAAACAGTCACGTTTGTTAAGTCTGTCCAGTGGGCGGATTTCCTTTTGCAAATTGCTACTTAAGCACGGTTTGGGTTTTTGTAGCTTTTTAGCTGTTAATTTTGCAGCACGTTTTGAGCTCACTGGCTTTTCTGTTTAGTTTCTTAGTTAACTTGTAAAAAAAAAAAAGCAGAATTAGAGAGATCTTACCAAGCAGAAACTATCTTTTCCAGAACTTAAAATCACCTTCCCATTTAGCGAGTTTTTGCATGGGATTTAGTGGGAAGGAAGGAAGCTCCTTAGAGTTAAATAGGTTCAGCTTGGAATCTCGGCTGCGATTACTACCTGTGTAATCTTAAGTCATTTGTCTTACCTCTCTGAATTTAGATTTCCTCGTTTGTAAAATGGAGATAATGAAACCTACTATGTAGAAGGTGTAATAATGATTTAGCGAGGTAAAATGCATAGAATAAAAACACACTCACTAAGTGATAGTTGCTTTTTGCTTCCTTTTTCCCAACAATTCTATGCAGACAATCAGAAACATCTGTTAGCCTAGAAGGTTGTATGGCACACAATACTTGCCATGGATTTCGCGAAACACGTCAAGGGCTTTCTTCAGGGAAGAAGCTACATCAAGCAGTGCCTTTTGCAGAGTACCCTCATCCTGGTGTTGCACTGCGCTGAATATAATGGGAATTACCTTAAAAAAAAAAAAAAAAGACAAACGCTTAAGATTTCCTAGGACTATTCACTTACATTGAATAAAATTCTCCCAAATCTTAATCCCTAGATTAAATTTGGGATTTTACACTTCTTTCCTGGGCTAAGAACCCTATTTGACTAATTTCCCTGAATTTATATAAACTGGGTTGGTTTATTCACTTAGCATTTAATTAATTTAGAGGTGTTTACATATATATATGTGTGTGTGTGTGTGTATATACACACATATTTCTATTTCTTTTTTTTTCCTTTCTTTTTTCTTTTCTTTTCTTTTCTTTTTTTGTTTTTTTGAGATAGAGTCTTGCTCTGTCACCCTGGGTAGAGTGCAGTGGCATCATCATAGCTCACAGCAACCTCAAACTCCTGGGCTCAAGCGATCCTCCTGCCTCAGCCTCCCGAGTAGCTGGGACTACAGGTGTGAGCCACTGCGCCCAGATATCCATTTCTATGTTGAAACCGTTTGAAACCATTTATGCCACTATGTATTATAAGCCAATGCCAAACTGCATTGAAAATTTTATTTCTTACGGGGGTTTCAAATTTGATTCTAAATATATGGCTCTGAGAGTTTATATTTCAGGTGATACAAAAATATAAAGGAAATATTTCTTTCAATCAGATGATCCCTTACCCCCAATTAAATAATCCCATGCTGTATTTGTTCAGGATAAAGTTAATTCATGCCGGCCAGCGCGGTGGCTCACACCTGTAATCCTAGCACTCTGGGAGGCCGAGGCGGGCGGATTGCTCAAGGTCAGGAGTTCGAAACCAGCCTGAGCAAGAGCAAGACCCCGTCTCTACTATAAATAGAAATCAATTGGCCAACTAATATTTATAGAAAAAAAAATTAGCTGGGCATGGTGGCGCATGCCTGTAGTCCCAGCTACTCGGGAGGCTGAGGCAGGAGGATCGCTTGAGCCCAGGAGTGTGAGGTTGCTGTGAGCTAGGCTGACGCCACGGCACTCACTCTAGCCTGCGCAACAGAGCGGGACTCTTGTCTCAAAAAAATGAAAATAAATAAAAAGAAAAGTGAACAGAACAATAAAAACTTGAAAAGTAGGGGAAAGCTTACAGAATAAATAAGGACACAAAGAAAGGAAATATCTGTGTATAGTCATTGCAGTGTGTTTGTGTTTTAAGTCGTGGTGTTACAAAGGAGTCCAAAAGTTAAAAAAAAAAAAAAAAGTTGATTCGTGCCTACTTTGGTTCAGTTATTAAGTGATTGCTCTGCTCATGTGAACTGACATATGCATTTTCAAGTGTGCGTGGACCTACTTTGATTGCGGAAGCAGCTGCTATTTCCACCAACAGAGAAACCAGGAAGAATCCTTTACCGCAGTTCCCACCAGGAAACGAGAACAGAATGTCCATGTTCCTAAGAAAATCCATTGAGGAAGGCAAGAAAGTTCACAAAAAATTATGGTACATTTGTAGAATACATTAGAGTTTTCAAGCATTTTTTATTTTATTTTATTTATTTTTTTTTTTTGAGACAGAGTCTCACTCTGTTGTCCAGGCTAGAGGGAGTTGCCGTGGCGTCAGCCTAGCTCACAGCAACCTCAACTCCTGGGCTCAAGCGATCCTCCTGCCTCAGCCTCCCGAGTAGGTAGGACCACAGGCATGCGCCACCATGCCCGGCTCATTTTTTTTCTATATATATTAGTTGCAATAATTTCTTTCTATTTATAGTAGAGACGGAGTCTCGCTCTTGCTCAGGCTGGTCTCGAACCCCTGACCTCGAGCTATCTGCCCGCCTCGGCCTCCCAGAGTGCTAGGATGACAGGCGTGTGCCACCGCGCAGGCCAAGCATTTTTATTTATCTGATTTTGTTTTAAAAATAATTTTGTGAGAGAAGTATGGCAGGTATTATCGTCTTCATTATCTAGGTGGGAATGCTACTCAGCTAGGTAGCCCCGTTGTCTACGACCATATAATTAATAGTAAACGGGTTAAGCTGAGACTTGACATTTCATTTTAGAACTTGGAACCAGAGTCCCAAAGTAGTTCTGTTTCTATTATCCTGTTAACTTTTCACAGACATACATTATATATTACTATAGATATTAATATATACTCAATGTTTATAGAGATATCTGTGAGGCAGAGTTTTAAGAAGTAGTTGTTTTGTTCAAATAAATATATTCACATTTTTATCTGTGAAGCCAATTCAATTTCTCAGTGGTTTACCTACTTTACGAAACAATTGCCTGGGAAATTAAAATAACTGGTTAGACTCTATTTTACTTTTCTGTTGAAGTTTTGGCATTGGTGCAAACACAGTTGTAGTGTCTGTATGTCTGTTAGTTTTGTGGTGGTTAGATTCATGGTTTCTGAAGCCAGACAGTCTTGCAGGTCACTCCCCAGGTGACCTTGAGTAGTAAGAATAAGTCATCTTTCTCTTCCTCAGTGTTCTTATCTGTAAAATGGGGTATCATTTTACAGATGATATCATCTTCAAGTTTAAAAACCTTACAGCTTCCCGTTTATTTTAAGATATTGTTCAGCCTGTAATCCTAGCACTCTGGGATGCTGAGGCGGGTGGATTGCTCAAGGTGGATTGCTCAAGGAGTTCGAAACCAGCCTGAGCAAGAGCGAGACCCCCGTCTCTACTATAAATAGAAAGAAATTAACTGGCCAACTAATACATATAGAGAAAATGAGCCGGGCATGGTGGCGCATGCCTGTGGTCCCAGCTACTCGGGAGGCTGAGGCAGGAGGATCGCTTGAGCCCAGGAGTCTGAGGTTGCTGTGAGCGAGGCTGACGCCACGGCACTCACTCTAGCCTGGGCAACAGAGCGAGACTCTGTCTCAAAAAAAAAAAAAAGAAAGAAAGAAAGAAAAAAAGATTTTTGTCGCTTCAAGGCCTCACTTGCTGTTTCCTCCAGGAGGAATGCTCCCATCTTCTCCTTCTCTAGCTAGTTCCTGTTCACTCTTCGGGACTCAACTCAAATACCTCGCTTCAGGCATTCCCCCTTCACCCTTTTAGTTGGTTTGGGTTCCCAGTGCTCTATCTTCCTACCTCTTCTCTTAGCCGTGTGGCAATTCATGAGAGTTTCACAATCTCCTTTCCTCTCCTGCAGTTTAGCTTCCCTGACGGGTGTTTGCCAATGATGTTTGCTTTATCAGCTTCCCCGTCTCAGCCTACGTCTAGTTTATAGGTCAAAAGTAGTAAGGGTTGGGTCAAAAAGATCAGGTTTATGTACAGCTACTTATTGACACTGGTGGCTTGTTCCAGCCACAGAGATCATTAAGTCATAGATACACAGAGGTTTGTGCCTTTTGTATTTATGCATAGCTATTACATGTAGATGTGCAAATAGTACGTTTGTATACATCTGTACATATACATATATATCAAATAGACACAGTCATAATATAGTCAGAGACATAATTTAAAACTGTGGTTAATTGCTTTTAGAATAATGACTTAACTTTTGCCTAAATCGAATCATTCGAAAATGAACTTGGAGCATATTAATAAACCTACAGTCACTTTGAATAACAATTCTTAGAATAAAATGAGAATCAAATACTTACTCATAAGTCATGGGCCTTAGGAGAGCAGAAATGGATTCAGTGGCCGGTTGGAAGAGAGAAGGAAAACCAATGTAAAATCAAATGGCTTTGAGCTATTGTTATTAGATTAAATGTTACTGATCTATCAGAGGTAAGACATAGGTAAAAAGGAAAAAAAATTACATATGCTTGTTCTATTTCTCAAGTAGGCATTGGAAACATTTAACTTAATAACTTATAAGTGAAATAAAAAATTAAACATGCAAGAAGCACACATGGACAGTCAAAACTATTAACAGTTGTTACTAATAAGAAACTTTCCAGATCAAATCCTTCCATTTTGCTGTATTCCTATTTGCAGAGACGTCTGTGACAGGTGCACAGGCCCAGGACACATTAATTCTCTCGTAACCATTATTACAGCAGATGCCATCACTCGATGGGTACAAAAAGGCCTAGATTTTGAGTAGACTGCCCCGAAAATCCAGACATCACTGCCTCTACTGCTAAAGATGTGTCCACTCTTAAATGCAAGTGGCTACTTAAAAATTAGATTAGTAGAATCTCAAAAACACGTTAATTAAAGGAAGACAGATACAAAAGAGTACATACTCTATGGTTTTGTTGACATACGCTTAATAACAAAACAAAATAACTTTTGACAAGACAAAGGAAAATACATTTACCTATGGCTGGGAAGGAAATTGGATGGAAAAAAAAAGCACAAAGGAATTTTCTGAGGTGATAAAAATATTCTATATCTTGCTCAGGGTGGTGGCTGTATGTATGCATATAGTAGTAAGATTCAAACTGACGATTTAAAATTTGGGCATTTTTCTGTATTTTAACTATACACCTCTCTCATATATGTATAATACACTTGAAGTTATGAACATAGCAGTCCAAGAAACTAACAGAGAAGAAAACTGTACTGCTAAAAATTAGACCAATAAATAACTATTTTTTTATTTAAATAGCATGCACCCTATCCATTCCTATTAGAATCACTGTTTGCTTACCCATTGGGATCCTTTTTCTTCCAATTTGCCAGGACACAGTCTGCATATACGAGAATAGGAGGGAGTCCCAGCTTCTCAGAGAGTTTGCAGTAAGGAATAGCAATATTTCTTGGCAAGATCTAATCAAAACACAGTATTTAGTTTTAACCATCTCACCTCTTTTTCTGCTTCCTGGATACCAAAATATTATCTGTTCTACATAATGGCACTTTGAAACCAAACGAACATAATTTTTTTTTTTCTTTTCTCCATTTCATAGCGGAAATCGTTAAATGTCCATGCTCTGGATTTGGGTTGGTGAGGACGACACCTGACCACAGAGAGGGAGAGGGGTGGAGTACAAGAGCGACAGAGGCTGCCTCTGGCTTTCCCACGGCGCTGTGAGGACTCTCCCTCATTCATTCTTGCCTCCGCCCCATGGATGTTTATAAACCAATCTTTCAATGCAAGATGCTACACTATCCACCGGCAATAAAAAGATAAAAATCAATTGTCTCAGAGATGGTGAAAGTTTTTATAATTATGACTTTTGGGTAAGTGCAAATAAATTGCTGCTCTTGCGGCACAGCGTAGCAAGAAATTCTCTCCCGGGTGATCTTTTGTTTGTTTGTTTTTTTTTTTTTAAGAAAGCTTCTCACCATTGAATGACATTGGTGGTTGGTCTTGAAAACTTACTGGTGCTCCAAGAAGGAATCTGCTATCCCCCTTTCTTTGTATTTCCTTGTGGGAATTGAGTCACCCACCCTTCCTCAGGGGAGGTGAAGTTTGCTCTGTTCGGCCGCCTAGCACTGCCCTCCACGAGCCGGGCGGGCCGCTCTGATTCTGGGGTGCACTTTTGCCTGGCCTGTTGGTCTCCTCAACCCCGCCATGTTTCCCAACAGCTCTTGCAGTCATAAAGCTGACATCTTGCTCTTGATCTGCCTGACTTCCTCATCTCATTGTCAGATGACTTAGCATTGGGTGGCCCCTAGGTAATCAGGGTCGTAGTCGTTGTCATCAGCAGCTTGTGGCTGGAATTTTGAAATTAACCAGGAAAGAAAAGGCCAGTCTGTGTGGCCAGTCTGAGGTGGTGGGTGGGTGGTGGAACTTCAGTGGGACTTTGGTGTGCTACTGGGCGGGTAAGGAACAGAAGTCGGCAGATCGTACACATTATTCCACTCCTGTATTCATCTGTGCTAGGCCAATCCCTAGGGAGAGGTTACTGGGACTCTCTTTTGGTTTGACTTAGAGTGAAATTTAGCTATCAAACCTAATCTAGAATGGCTCTGTGCTCATAATCACTACTTTTATAAAATAAGACTGTGGCTAACACTTAAATGTATACATATAAATACACATACTAGATGACATTATTTTGAAACTAAGGTTTTCTAACGTTGATCAGAGTAGAGTGAAACCAATATATTCATTCTTCCATGTTGACAGATGTAAGGTAGCATTTTATCATTAACTAAGAAGAGCCAGAAAATATTCAGACTTCCCCAAAAATCATAAATAAAGAAAAATGGTTCACATTCAAAGATGTTTTTGTAGTATTATTTATAATAGTGAAATACTGAAAATAAGCAAAGTATTTATCAACAGAGGATTTAGTAAGTAAACAAAATTCAGAAATTCAATGAAAACTTGGTCATTTCAAATGACTAGAATGATCGTGTAGTAATTAAAATGCTGACAATATAACTTAAGTTAAAGAAGCAGGATATATACGTATTTGTACAGGATAGAGCAACTGTGTAATAAAAGTAAAAAGACTAAAACTATAATAATGATAACAGTTGATATGTTAAGCAAGTGAATGTTTTCTTCTTCCTTTTTTTTTTCTGTTATCTAAACCTCGCAAAATACAAGTTATGCTTTTGGAAAATTTTTATGTGAAATGGAAATTGGATGCAAATCTGTCACGTGGCATAAGAAATATTAGAAAATCTCCCGACCTTGCGGACGTCTCCGTCACCTCGATCCCACACATACGCCATGGTGATGTAGCCCAGAACCAGGTGCGCCAGGCGCTGCGGCTTGTGCCCTGGGAGCCCATCAATGCTGAGCATTGGCAACTGCAAACAAATGGAGAGACACTGACTCATACCAACTTTGGTGATGTTGTGGGCTTCAAAACCAAGTTTATGATGTTAAGAAGAAACAAAAGGTCCAGGCGTGGTGGCTCACACCTGCAATCCTAGCACTCTGAGAGGTGGAAGAGAGAAGATGGCTCAAGGTCAGGAGTTCGAGACCAGCCTGAGCAAGAAGGAGACCCTGTCTCTACTAAAAAAAAAAAAAAAAAGAAAAAAAAAAGAAATAAATTAATTGGTCAACTAAAAATATATAGAAAAAGTTAGCCGGGCATGGTGGCGCATGCCTGTAGTCCCAGCTACTCAGGGAGGCTGAGGCAGGAGGATCGCTTGAGCCCAGGAGTTGGAGGTTGCAGTGAGCTAGGCTGATGCCATGGCACTCTAGCTCGGGCAACAGAGCTAGACTCTGTCTTAAAAAAAAAAAAAAGCAGCAGCAAAAGAAGACAGCCAGGCACCGTGGCTCCTGCCTGAAATCCCAAAGACTTGGGAAGCTGAGGCAGGAGGGCTGCTTGAGCCCAGCAGTGTGAGGCTGCAGTGAGTTTTGATTGTGCCATTGCACTCTAGTCGGGGCGACAGAGTGAGACCTCATCTCTATCAAAATAAAAAAAGAAGAAAGAAGACAAATGAAAGACGTATTTCAAACCTTCTCCACTTCTGCTCGGAGCTGACCGTTCTCAATCAGAGCGGGCAGCTGCTCGGCAATCACCATCCAGGCCTTATAATCATCAGGTAGCTTTTCCTTTAAAAAAGAAAAAAAAAAAACACACAGTTTTATTTACTAGTGTCAGTTACTGCAAAAATCATCTTAGCTTCCCAAGGATAGTCCACCTTGCGCTAGATCCACTCTGCGCCAGCCACTGTGCTGCCTGCTCGCCGACAGGATTGCAACCTGCACCTGCACCCACACCTGCACCTGCACCTGTGCCCACACCTGCACCTTCACCTGCGCCCGCACCTGCACCTGCGCCCACACCTGCACCTTCACCTGCACCTGCGCCCGCACCTGCACCTTCACCTGCACCTGCGCCACCCCTGCCACCTCCGCGCCTCCTGTCTGCCTCTTTTCCAAGTCTACCTCAAAAGTTCCACTAAAATCTTCCTGAATATTTCCTTTGCCACCAGTATCCTCTATTTTAAACCCTATGAATTATGCCTTTCCATATTGTTAAGTAATTTATCTGCTACTTTTTTTCTTCTTGGGTAGATTTCAAGCTCTTCAAATGGAAGAAAAATGAGGTATTTTAAATGTCTAGTAGTGGACTAGGCACTCTGCTCAATAATTTCACTTACACATTTCTCCTTTAATTCTTGTAACAGCCCAAGAATTTATCTCTATAATCCATAAGGAAACGTAGGCTCGGAGAGTTTATGGAACTATTTTTGTATATATAGCTTATTGTAATTCAAACATAACTGTTTCCAACTTTCAGAATCTATGTCCTTATCTCACTACCTCCTGATGACAAAGATTGTATTGTGAGTTTTTTTCTTTTTTTTTTTTTTTTTTGAGACAAGGTCTTGCTCTGTCTCCTGGGCTAACTAACTACAGTGGCATCATCATAGCTTACTGTAGCCTCAAACTTCTGAGCTCAAGATATACTTCTAGCTCAGGCTCCTGAGTAGCTGGGACTACAAGTATGTGCCACCACCTGCAGCCAATTTTTAAACACTTTTTGTAGAGACAGGGTTTTGCTATATTTTTGAGGATGGTCTCGAACTCCTGGCCTCAAGGGATCCTCCTGCCTCGGCTTGCAAAGTGCCAGGATTACAGGCATGAGCCACTGTGCTTGGCCAGTGCTTTTAATTTTATATCTTTTACAAGACTCAGCGCAACACTGGACATATAGGAGGTTGATTACCTACTTTGGTTTTACTGTAGGCTTGTTTTTTGCTAAGTACAATGAAATCCAAATAAAAGTATCTTCCTTATCATGTTATCATCTCATCTCAAAGGGAAACATAGAAACAAAAGACCCAGGAAACATCTTGAAATGAGATAAAGATCCCTGAGCAATTTCCTGTACAACCTGCCCCCACCCCCTTCCATCCACTGTCTTCAGGGCACACCCTTGAGGTCATCCATGCTTAACCTTGGGGACTCAGTGCAAACAGAGAGACTGACTCGAGTCAATATGGGTGAGGTCTTAAGCTTCACCCATATAGTTAATATATAATAAGTTAAGGCCCGGCACCGTGGCTCACGCCTGTAATCCTAGCCCTCTGGGAGGCCGAGGTGGGAGGATCACTCAAGGTCAGGGGTTCGAAACCAGCCCGAGCAAGAGCAAGGCCCCCGTCTCTACTAAAAATAGAAAGAATTAATTGCCAACTAAAAATATATAGAAAAATAGCCGGGCGATGGTGGCGCATGCCTAGTCCCAGCTACTCGGGAGGCTGAGGCAGGAGGATCGCTTGAGCCCGGGAGTTTGAGGTTGCAGTGAGCTGGGCTGACGCCACAGCGCTCTTCAAAAAAACAAAAACAAAACAATATATAATAAGTTAATATATAAGTACGCTATACAACAGGAAAGCAAATATAATATAAAATTGAAACATTTTCAAGATCTGTATGTAATTCTCTGATCTAAATTGATTAGGGCAGATTTTTAGCAGTGAGAAATTCAGGCTACGTACTAGACAGCCCCTTTTCTTGCTCGGAACTTTTCTCCCTGACCACACCAATGCAGCGCTTATGGCTTAGTGATAAATGTTTGTGCTGTCCTCGTTGTTCCGGTGTTCATGGTGGTAAACACACCTGATTTTTTGGTTATTGCTGTTTTCCCCAAGTGACAGAAATACTCTTTTGTTATGTACCATGGGTAATGTTTTATTTGACCGCGCCTTTAACAAACGTAACGTTCGATCAACAAACATGCTTCTGGTTCCGAGGATCCCTAAAGGGTAGAATATAAATTAAAAAAGAATAATACAGAGGATTTTGCTAAGATTAGAGAATGTATTTTGTTTCTATATGGAATCAGAAGACATTATTTTCCTTTGGAATAGAAAGCTGATACACAGAGTATGAAAGATGGAACATACATTTTTGAGCTCTAAATTTTTAGAAAGGATCTTCAGTGAAGACATAAAAGTAACCCCTAATTTTGTTTTCATGTTTCGAGACACTGAATCTAATTTCCTCAGCATCTCAGCTAACAGAATAATTTCCTAAGTAGCCAAAGAGGAGTTTTTTGGGTTTTTTTTGGTGGGGGGGGGGTGGTTTAACCCTCTGAGTCTATTCTAGAAGTTTCCATAATTACCACAGTTGTTGCATTTTTCAAGAGAACTAACTCTTTGAACAACAACAAAAAAACCCTTGATATGAAGTTTAGTAGTATCTGAAAAAGACAGTTCTATTGAACCATTGATAGTGCATCCTTGAAACCATCCAATCCTGACATCTGGGCACATATGGGGTGGGTCAGGGAGCAAGTCTGAATATTATCGATTTGAAAGTATAAAGCAAACTCTGGGATTCTGGCAATAACATTAAAGCATATGTTTCATTTTCTTAATTTAATATTCTGAAGAGGAAAATTATATTGGGAGGCAGAGATTGCTTCAGATTTTCCTATATTACATTTCAGAACACAGTTAGGTTGGAATCTTTGGCTAAAAATATATCGTTGCGTTTAATGGCGCTCTCCAGAGTGTGGACAGTAACTGAGCTAGGAACAAATAAAAATATACTTGTGCGCAGAATTGTTACAACATGTAACTGGTTCATGGAAATCCGCCCTGGAATCTCATGCACCTTGTCCCAAGAGAGAGAAAAGCAATGCTTTGTGTTCTCTTCTTTAAAAAAGAGAGCAACTCTAGAGTCAGACTGGTTAGGTTACACCTGCCTCTTTCACTTGCTGGCTGTATGAGTCTGATAATTACTTAAATTCTGTATGCCTTATATTTCTTACCACTTGGGATGGTTTGTGAGGATGGAATGAGTTAATATTTGTAAACTGCTTAGAAGAATACTAAATTTTATAACTAAAATATTGATATAATAAATTGATTTATATGGCATTCATCAAAAGACAACTTAGGAAAATGTAGTCTCTTTCTTTTCTTTTATTTTTTTTGAGACAGAGTCTCGCTCTGTCGCCCCCTGGCGAACATGCCCTGGCGGTCATAGCTTGCAGCAACCTCAAACTCCTGGGCTCAAATGAGCCTTCTGCCTCAACCTCCCAGGTAGCCTGGCTATTTTTTTCTACTTTTGGTAGAGATGGGGGTCTCACTCTTGCTCAGGCTGGTTTCGATCTTCGGAGCAGCCATCCTCCTGCTTCAGCCTCCCAGAGTGCTGGGATTACCGGCGGGAGCCACCGCGCCCGGCCTGTAAATGTAGTTTTTAAGGCAAATATTTTCTCCACATACCTTGCACTTTGTAGCTAAAACTTGCAAAAAAACAAAAGAGCTAGTCCAGACTCACATTTGAATTTTATGCTCAGTAAACAGCATTATTAATACCACACAAAATTGGCTTGGTGTGCAACCTCATAAATGCAATCAAATTAGGAACACATATTTTGCGCAATTTAAGGTATATCAGTAGAGAGAGGGTTTTCCCTTTGTCTCCTGGACCATTTACACCTTCAGCTTTTTCAAAACCTCCTCCAGAAATGCAATTATGATACACTTACTTTTGCTTTCTACAGTACAATTCTTCTGTAAAGCTAAAATACTTCCCAGCCTTTCCCCTATCCTGTCACTCTGCATGTATCTACAATAAGTTACCAACCACAGTTGTTCAGCAGTTAACTTGTCCAGGTTAAGTGGTGAGAAGAAAAACGCATTTTCCCACCTTACAGCGTCCTCTCTTACCAGTGGATTTGGCAGAGCGAAGCCCACATCTTCATCGATGTGGTATTCCTCGGTGATTTTCCAAGAACTGTCCATAGGAGATGCCGTGCCATGTGCCATTCTCGCAGTCTACGCCTCTGGCACCCCGTAGCCTCTGAAGGGTCGCAGAACATCTCTTTATTATAGTGGTTGCCATGGGCAGTGACCACAGCCTCTCACGTCGTCGGTGAGGAATGACTTCCCCTTTTGGAATAGTTTCATTTTCTAGTTTCTTTATATGTAATTTGATAAACAATGAAACCACACAAGCATCATAGGAAGAAAACTGAAAGTCTGTGTTTGATAGCAAATCTCTTAGGGACATCATTTGCTTACTGCCATATGGGAAGCTGGAAAGGGTCTGATTGTAAACACAAGAAGTATGAAAAGGTGTGACCAGAAAGGAACATTTTGTTTTATCGAAATTTGTAAATTTTCTTCTCTTCTTTTTTTTTTTGAGACAGAGTCCCACTCTGTTGCCCTGGCTAGAGTGCCATGGTGTCACCCTGGCTCACAGCAACCTCAAACTCCTGGGCTCAAGCGACCTCCTCCTCAGCCTCCCGAGTAGACTGGGACTACAGGCATGTGCCACCGTGCCTGGCTAATTTTTTTCTATATATTTTCAGTTGGCCATGAATTTCTTTCTTTCTTAGTAGAGACGGGTCTCGCTAAAATAGAAGGGTCTTGCTCAGGCTGGTTTTGAACTCCTGACCTTGAGCGATCCTCCTGCCTTGGCCTCCCAGAGTGCTAGGAATGCAGGCATGAGCCACCACGCCTGGCTGTAAATTTTCAAATTAAAATAAAGAATTGTATCATAGCGCGGGCGGCGGTGGCTCACGCCTGTAATCCTAGCACTCTGGAGGCCGAGTGGGCGGATTGCTCGAGGTCAGGAGTTCAAAACCAGCCTGAGCAAGACCCCGTCTTACCAAAATATAGAAAGAAATTAATTGACTAACTAAAAATATATACAAAAAAAATTAGCCGGGCATGGTGGCGAATGCCTGTAGTCAGCTACTAGGGAGGCTGAGGCAGTAGGATGCTGAGCCCAGGAGATTGAGGTTGCTGTGAGTAGGCACTCCACTCTAGCCTGGAAGAAAGTGAGACTCTGTCTCAAAAAAAAAAAAAAAAAAAGAATTGTATCATAGCTATAGTCCTAAACTATTATTTAGTTATTTGTCATTGGCTTTTTTTTTTTTTTTTTTTTTTAGGCTTCAAGGGTTCTTGGAAAATATCAGTGTCTTGTTTTCAGCAGCTTGGAAATACAAGCTGTGACACACTGAACTATTAGTCAATGGCTCTGAAGTAGGAAAAGATGGAAGCACATGAAACATTAGAAAAGTTGCACCTCTCCACCGCCCCATCTTTCTCCCCTGGACTTTCTTCAGTGTTTCACACGATGAAGTTCCCTCTTGTGCACATTCCTAACAAGCGACTTTTAGGAAGCTCATCTTGCATTATCAACTGTGTCTGACTGCCAGAGACTCAATGAGGCAACTGTCCTCATTTGGGGACTTTGGAAGGTGTTAAAAGTTGAAGCAAAGGATAAAAATACCTTGAAAACGTTTCTTTCAGAATGCGAATTGAGACTGCATTTTGTAAAAGTTTTCAGGTTGCTGGCTAAGGGCGCTACAGCAAAAGCAGAAGCCCTATCATTCCTTTCGGTCATCAAAAGGACGAAAGAGAAGGATTTTTAGTGTTCAGTACATTAAAAGGTCACGCAGTTCTGTCATCCAGTTTGTCAGTACTTAAAATCACTTAGCGGCTCAGGGCTTTGCTATGTGCTAAACTAGCTCCCGCGCTCCGCAGCCGCCGCCGCGCCCTCACTGCTGTGCACGCAAGGCTGCGCCTCCTTATCACCTGACGACTTTGCTTTCAAAAGAAGAGTTTTACAAGAATATGTTCTCTGAACAAGAAAAGCCACGAGAAAATGAAACCAAAATTGCATCACAAAGAAAATAACAATGACTAACACATTCTTTAAAAGAAATTACTCATAAGGCAGATACTTTTGGAATCAGACCCAAGGGGGGAAAACGACACACACAAAAAAATATCACACAAGCCTATCACATCTGAATGGAAGACAGAAATACTAACAAAATATGGAGAATTAGAAAATGTGTGGTCAGCGCTATGACTTTTCATCCTTTGTATCCAAATTTTTCTATGGGTGAGTCCAATTGGAGACACGGACTGCAGTTTTAGATGACTGTGTCTTGGAAAAATCTCTCAGGATGGGTTTTTTTAAGAAGCATGGTTTGATAAAACTTTTTTTTTTTGGCTCTGTTTACAAACCTACTTCAGAAACAGTAGTGCTTTACCTGCTCAATTTTATCTCTACCTTTTGAACTCTCTCGAACCCTTTCATATTTCTGGAACAACAGGCTCAATTGATCCTGTCTTCATCTTAATTTTTCTTTAGCCGTAACTAAATGTCCTTGAAAACTCACATATGAAATCACATGTTCCCAGAAGGGCACCTTGATTTTATGATCTTTTATTTTTTATAAAATAAAAAATTTTCATTTTTTATATTCACATATTTCTATTTCTCTTTTTTTTTTTCTCTCTTTTTTCCATTGGATGCCAAGTTCTATTGATTTTATGATCTCATAGGGGTTCTTTCTTTATCTTCCTCTTTAGCCTTTCTTCTGTGCTAGGTCATTAACACTGGAGAACCGAGAGCCGGAGCTCAGGCTTTTGCTCCCCGGCCTCCTACATCTGAAACTTTACCTGAATCTGTCTCCCTTGTATATATCGCTTGCTTTAACAGCCTTGACGATCTTTTCTCTATGATGACTGTTTTGCCTGACTCATGCCCACAGCGACAGACCGCACTTCAAACGGCGAGAGTCTCTACCTGAACGTCCTGGTCTCCAGCTTCACGGAGGGCTGCATTGATTGGCACCGGGGCTGTCACCACAGGGTCTGCCCAGGGACTTTCATCCAGAGCCGCTGTAAACACACATTTATTTCCTCTTAATAAATCATTCTCCATAATGTACTCAACTTCCTCTTTCTCTATATATTATACTAATTTCTAAAAATGCAGCTTGGTTTTTAAAAGAATTATCAGTTTCTTATTTATTTGTTTATTTATTTATTTATTTATTTTGAGACAGAGTCTCGCTCTGTTTGCCCAGGGCTAGGACGAGGTGCCGTGGCGTCAGCCTAGCTCACAGCAACCTCAAACTCCTGGGCTCAAGCGATCCTCCTGCTCAGCCTCCCGAGTACTGGGACTACGTGTCACCATACCTGGCTATTTTTTTCTATAGATTTTTAGTTGGCCAATTAATTTCTTTCTATGTTTTAGTAGAGACAGGGTCTTGCGCTTGCTCAGGCTGATTTTGAACTCCCGACCTTGAGCGATCCACCCGTCTCAGCCTCCCAGAGTACTAGGATTACAGGCAGGAGCCACCATCCACCACGCCTGGCCAAGAATTATCAGTTTTAAAATCAAATAATCTAGAGCATCCAGGAGGAATGAAAGAAATCACTGAAATGCCAACGACTGACATTCACCATTAATGTTTAATGGTGCATTAATGGTGACCACATTTTGCACCATTTTCATGAAAATTAATAATATACAAATTTCCCTAAGCATTTACTAGTGTCAAAAATGTTTTAAAAACCTTGTTTGTAGTAACTAATTTGACTTTTATAGTTGACTTATGAGGAAAATTCCCTAAAAGAGAATTAAGGAGATTCAGGATTTTCTGTGCCTTTAGTTGCCAGAACAAAACAAAATTAAATAATCCCTTAAAGAAGAAAATGTCATCTTAGACCTCAAAATATTTATACCATCCTTATAGATGTCTAGAAGTCACTAAAAAAATGTCCAGGCACATGATCTAATACCAAAGAAAACAACAGACTAGAGAAAGAGATTTACAGGAGATTAGATTTAAAAAAGAGCAGATGGACTTTGAAATTCATCTCTTAATTCAAAAATTTAGAAATAAAAAAATAAGATGGGGAACTTTGCAGAAACTGTAAATAATAGCCAAATGAATATTCTGAAATTAACATAATTGAGGAGAAAATACATGAACTTGCAGATACGTCAGAAGAAAATACAGCCTAACACCTGGAGAGAACAAAGAAAATAATGACAAATACAGAGAGAGAGAGAGAGAGAGAGAGAGAGAACACACAAACAGAGGATGCAGTGAGGAATCTAATATAGATGCAATCTGAGTCCCAGAGGAAGAGAAGGGAGAGAATGAGAAAAGCCAATATTTAAAGCAATAAGGCAAGAATTTAAATACATGACAGACACTAAGCCAAAAATAGAAAAAAATCTATGCTTTTCAAGCTGGGCTAAATGAAATTAAAACCACGCCTGATCACATCATAGTTAAACTGTAAAAACCAAATAGGAAAGTCTTTAAAACATAAAAATTTCCTAAAAGACAAACAAAAACAAATTAACACCTTCAAAGTAGTATCAATTAGAGTGACAAGAGGAATTCTCAAGCAAGCAAGACCTGAGAACAATAGAATGACATCTAAAAGTGCTAGGGAAAGGCAAAGATATACAATGTAACCCAAAGGTCAAAAAACAGGAAAACAAACAAACAAACTTTTATCGGGTGGTGGGCAAATGGGAGGGGGAGTGGGGAAGAATTCACACTTACAAAATAGGTGCGCACCACCTGGGGGTAGGACACGCTCGATGTTTTGGTAAGGGGTGGGGAAGGAATGGCAGGGGCAATATATGTAACCCTAACAATATTTGTACCCCCATCATATGATAAAATAAAATAAAAAAATAAAATAAAATAAAATAAAAAACTGCTAAAGAAAAAAACAATAAGTCAAGAGAGAATTATATATTCATGGAAAATATTATTTATAAATGTAAATAAAATAATTTGGGGGCAAACTAAAATTACAAATTTATCACCAGCAAGTCTACCATTAAGGGAACTTTAAAGAAATCTTGTTTCTGCAGAGGGAAAATAATTTCAGAAGTAGCAATAAATGAAGAGCAGTGAAAAGGGGTAACTCTCTGACTCTAAATGAGTACATATATATAATAATTATTCCGATAAGTAGTACAGAGTTTTATTTAGATAAATTGATGCTATACATACATATATATTAATATTTTTTGACTTGAATTTATATATCACAATTCATCATAGCCTCCATGTATGCGAGGAGGGGTGTAAGACTGGTGGTTAAAAT